ATCAGTTGACCATAGATAGATGGGTTGATCTCTGGATTCTCAATTCTATTCCAATGATCTATGTGTCTGTCATTGTACCAGTACCATGCTGTCTTGACCACTACGGCAGTGTAGTAGGATTTGAAATCAGGGAGTGAGATACCTCCTACCGTTCTTCTATACAGATGAAGCATTGTAAAACTTTATTAAACATGACTGCTTTTGTGTTTTAACCTTGCAGATTAGCAAAATATTCACATAAAGTTTACAGTTTGTCATTGTATGTATTCTTTCTATAATTCTGAATATCTATAGAAATTACAAGGATCTAACGTGGTATAGTCTCCAGGGCCTTGTACTTCTCTCATGGTTCAAATCCAGACTGCTCTGCCAGAGAGTGACAGACAGTCTCCTCCCATAACATTTACAGCCTCCTAAAAGCCCACTGGCATTTCTACTGTGGGTCAGTTCCACCTCAAACTGCAATGCATTTTGAATTTTTATCATAATTATATTTGGTTCTTTCTGTTTAGAAAAAAATATTGCGTACTATCTTTACCAAAATATCTCTAAACTTATGTAACACTGTTATGTTGTATTTTGTCCTCTCCCATTCTTTCTAAAGATTTCTTCATCTTAACCTGAAGATCTTTATTTCTTCTTAGTCATTTGCATATAATTATAAACACAATTTTAAAACCATCTGAAGATACAGACTTATGCTTTCCCTAATGTTGTTGTTGTTGATTGCCTTTGAGTAGAGCACCACTCATAGCGACCCTATGAACAAAAGGCCTGAAGACATTCTCTAACTATCAACATTTATCAAAGTTCATAGAGTTTCCAGAGGCATGTTGTTTAGGAAGTGGATACCATGCTGCTTCCAGTATAGCTTTTTTTAAAAAAAATTCATATTTCAAAGCTTCTGGAAGGCTAATACTATTGCACCAGATCTTACACTAAATATTTTTATAATCTGTTGAAAATTTCCAATGGGAGCAAACAAAGATTCTTTGTCAATGATGTATCCTTCTTTTGAAGGAAAATGACATCCGGATAATAAAGGTAATTATGCTTTGGTTTAAAGGGAGCCATTTTATAGAAGCTTATAACTCAAACTTAAGTGGTATAAAAGTGTACTTGTAACAGAATGTTCTCTTTTTTTTATTTCTTAGGGCTATTTTCTAAAATTATCTAGCTGAGTAAATTATTTCCAAGTATAAATCGATACTCATTGTTAAAATAGCAGGCATGTCTGGGACACTATCTCAGTTATGGACAAAAAAAAATCAAATCTTTTCTTTGAAGATGTCAAAGCTTTTAGCAATAACTTCAACAGCTATAGCTAATTTTCACTCAGTACTCTATCCATTATTCTAGAGCTTTACATGTACTATCTCACTTAACCCTAATGACAACTTTATATTAAATACTATTGGTATCACCACTCCCAGTTGAGGAAATTAAGATTCAAATAGGTACCTCCACATGGTAAATGATAGAGCCAGGATTCCAAACCAGATTTCTAAATGCGGAGCACCAGCAGAAATGTACTTAGGCTGTTTCATTTTGTCTTCATTCTTGGATAGATCTCAGGGTTTTGAAATTTATCTTACACAAACAGGCCAAACCAGCAAAAACAACCCATCCATCAACCCAGGCAAAGATCAGTTTTCCACCCAAATTATAGGTCTGTTTTGTAGAGATGCTTGTATATTTTGACTTCATGGAATTATAGTAAAGTTTAATCAGATTTATTTTGTAAAAATGCTGTGAGATTAGGTTTGTTGTTTTTTTGTGTTTGGGGTTCCCCCCCACACACACATAATGGTCAATTGCTAATATGTAGATCAATATATATTGCTTCAGCACATATGCTGCCTTATAATTCTTTTTACAGGTGTGGATAAATTATGCTTCATTTCCTTTAAATGTAGATAAGAGGCCTTGAGTTTATTGAAATTAAGGGCCAAAATTTCCAAGACAGCTATGTTTTTAATTCACTGAATTTAAATGTGTTCTTGTTTGCATACTTGTATTCTTCCTTCATAGTTACTGCTTACTTATTCTGTGCTCAGTCATGTGAATTGTATTTGGAAGACACTGACTATATTCACAGAGACAATCATTAAAATAGTCTTTAAAATATAGCCCCGATAAGCATTGAGCCCACTGGGTCAGACTGAAATACATACTGAAAGTAAGTGGTCTGTTTATATTTTTCTCATCATAGCAAATGTAAAGGTTATTATTAAATATCTCAGGAATAAAATGTTCTTCAGTTAACTCCACTTCTTTTTATAGATATTTTATAGCTTATTTACAGATTGCATATGAGCTGTATTAAATATTAGTCTCCATCCCATTGGCAATATACACTGAAAAGATTATTATAAGGAGCAAATATTACAGTTTTATTATTAGATTCAAGATCACATTCCTCAATTCTAGTTCTATCACCATCTCAGTTCTCTGAGACTCTGTTCATTATGCTTAGCTATGAAATGTGATTTAAAATAAAGACACTATAAAGCACAAAGACCATTTCTAGAATATTTTCAGATGTATTTGTTAAAAGAATGATAAAGCTCAATCTACAATTTTATGTAAGAAGCATATAATAAACTCACATGATGCTAGTTTTACAAAAGAAAGCACGTAGACTAAAAAATATTTCATCTGCATGTTAGCTGATTTTTTTAGCAAAATGTTTTCTGCTCTGGTTTATTTATCATTCCTACTCATCAACCAATGATCTATTTTGTTACAGAATATGGAAAATTTCAATTCCCCACAAGTTCATGAGAGGGCTGGACTTGATGATGTTGAGCTGATGTCTGATGAAAGGTACTTTTAGGATTTCCTTCTCATATTTGTTGTTGGTATGATGAGACTTTCTTTTTTTAAAATTTTTTTTAAAAATTTTATTATTTTTGTGTGAGTGTACCGTCAAATCAGATCTGACTGGTACAGGAGGAGATTGTCCCTCCTTCCTCGGCAGAGCATCTGGTGGATTCGAACCGTGCACCTCTGGGATTGTAGTTGCAGCTCCTTTTTTTAAATTTTTTTTTTTTTTTATTTTGGTATGATGAGACTTCCGTTTCACTTTATCTTGTGTGTGGTATGACAGCTAAGAAGAATAAGGTTCAAAGACTACATGTTTAACATCGATATTTTAAAGCAAGGAAAAGTTTTAGACTAAAACATCTGCTTTGGTGCCAAATGCCACATTCTCATTTGTGTTTCAGATTTTATTTTTATTAGTTTTATTAATTTCTTGCTCTGTTTTTATATTTCATTAGTATTTGGTTTAGAGGTACTCAGTAATTTTTTTAAAAATTTTAATGAAAGTTTACTGAGACTTAGTGTTTCTGTTTCCATTCATTCATTGTTGCAGTTTTCTCCCTGCCCACTCCTCCCCCTCAATTCATTCTTCTCTTTGAAAAGTAAAAGAAAAATTCTTTCATTGTTATACAACCCCTCTCCCCAGCTCCACGCCACTATGCAGCCTGTGTTCTGGACTCCTGTCATGACAATAATACCTAATCATATATTCCTTTTAAACAGATTTTTCCCCTCATCTGTTATAATGCAGTTTACATAATTTATCCCATCTTTCTCAGTCTTCTCTCAACCCCAATATCAGTCCCGTTTTACAACATTGGCCCTATGCAATGTTTGTACTTTTGTGACTGAGATATTTAACTCAGGATAATGTCCTCCAAGGTCACCCATTTTGTATAACATTTCATTAGTTCCTTGTTTTTTCAGTGCAGCATAATATTCCACTGTGTGACTATACCACAGCTTCTCTATCCATTCGTTTGTTGATGGGCACTTAGGTTGTTTCCAACTCTTTGCTATTGTGAACAAAGCCACAAAAAACATGAGTGTGCATATATCTGCTTGGGTGGCGGTTATGGTTTCTTTAGGGTATATTCCCAGTAGTGGAATTGCTGGGTCTAATGATATTTCTATTTGCAACTTTTTGAGAAAGTGCCATACAGCCTTCCATAGTGGTTACACCATTTTGTACTCCCACCAACAGTGAATAAGGGTTCCCATTTCTCCGCAAGCTCACCAGCGTTTGATGTTTGGAGATACGCAGTAATTTTTAAAATAAATTATAATAAGAGTCCGGAATGAGGGTTGCAGAGTGGAGTATACTCAGGGTAGGGGTGGGGGTGGAGGAGTGCAGAGGGTTTGTGTACCAATGAAGGAGTTTTTCCTTTTTTATTTTATTTTATTTTTTAAAATAATTTTAATGAACATTTACAGAGAATTTGGATTTCCATTCATTCATTGCTGCACTTCTCTCCCCTCCCAGCCCTCTCCCCCCGCCCCCCAGTTCGCTCCTCTCTTTCAAAAGTAAAAGAAGGACTCCCTCCCTGGTACACAATCCCCCCCGCACCCCTGCTACCTCCCCAAGTACATTCCACTATGCAACTTTAATTGTGGACTCTTGTGATAACCATAATACCCTATCATACATCGCTTTTAAATTATTCAGTCTCTCATCTATTTCAGTGCAGTATACACAATTTATCCAGTTTTTCTCAGTCTTACCCCCACCCTGATATCAGTCCCATTTTACAGCAGTGGCACCATGCAATGTTTGTCCTTTTGCGACTGAGATATTTCACTCAGCATAATGTCCTCCAGGCTCACCCATTTTGAATAATATTGAATGAGTTCCTTGTTTTTCAATGCAGCATAGTATTCCATTGTGTGAATATACCACAGCTTCTCTACCCATTCGTTTGTTGATGGGTTTCTTTTGCTTTTCAAGGAGAGGAGTGAACTGGGGGTGAGGGTGGGGTAGGCAGGGAGAAATGTGCAACAATGGATGAATGGAATTCCAAAATCTCTGTAGATGTTCATTGAGATTAATAAAAAGAAAAAAGACTCAGTCACTGAAAAAAATTATAATATCAATGGATTAAAAAATATTCCAAGACAAATTGATATTGAATTATATTTTTGTAAAATAATGTTGTTCTTCTCATTTACAGCAAAGAAAGTGAGAAAGGTAGTGGATATGCCCAGCATTTTGAGGTGAGTAGCTTACCAAAGGAGATTGCAACTACGATGGGTTTGTTAGTATGTAATTGGTTATTTTTAGCCCTCAATAAAAAATATTGAGATATGTGAAAAAGATGATGATTTCTGGTGATTAGCGATTTCTTGAATGCCATAATAACTCTATTATTTTGCTTTTAAATTCTTTTGTTTTGCTGTGAAAATAAACTCTAGTAGAATATGTTTCTTTTTAGATTATTCATTAAATTCAAAAGAAAACAAAATGCCAAAGCTACTAGTTTGAGGTTTTTTATGACATGATGCCATTTTTTTTATGTTTAAACTACATTGTTGTTGTTGTTGTTGTTGTCGCTGTGTCGCATCAATTCATAACCAACCCATTGCTCACCCACCGGCAGGTTTTCAGAGGCAGTTAGTCTCACGGAAGGAGATTGCCCATCCTCCTATGGAGCAGCTGGTATATTCAAACTGTTTACCTTTCAAATTTATATAAATTCAGATTAAATTACTGAATTCAATTATTTTTTCTGAATTTTGCATCTCATTTTATGTATACAATGGGGAATTAATATTATAGCTAGACTATTACCTGTATGCGGTGTCCTAGAAAATATCTCCAATGCTCTCCTTAAATTTTGTTCCTTCCTTCTTGTAAGAATAGTGAAGCAGAATTCCAGGCTTTTCTTTTTTTTTTTTTTTTTAATTCCAGGCTTTTCTATGCAAGCAAAGGGGTTTATTAGGAAAAATACTTTGCAAAGGGAGAAAGGGGGAAACAAGGCACTTCTGGCCCGTCCCGTGTTTAACAAAGGAGCATGACATCCTTTTAAAGGCTTTGAAGGTGTTTCTGCATGGAGAGTTTGGTTTTAAGAGGTAACCTATCAAAAGGAAAAGATCTTCATTTTTATTCATAAAAGAAAGACGAAACTATCGGGGATTGGCTCACATGGTAGGAGTTAGGATAATTAAACACATGCACAAATGTTCTTTCAAGATAGCCACTACCTGAAGGGCTTTCTTGGCCTTGTAGAGAACATGGAAAGATAAAAAAAAATGGCCTTGAATATGCTTGATTCAGCAAATTTCAGAATCATGTGCTGTGGCTTTAAAGATGGTAATTTCCAGGTGAGGTGCTTGGTCATCATGGAGCATTCCCTTTCAAAACGCTACTTCCTAGAAGGGTATGCAAGAGTCACTGAAATCTCTTAGCAAAGTTCAGGGTTGTTAAGAGGGAACACTAGAAAGTGCCTAAGCTACTCATTTAGGTTGTGTTCTTAGGTCTTGTAATGTCTACATCAGCTGAATGCTGGCTTTACTCTCATCTGAACCATTTCAAGGGAAAATAGTCCAACACATCATGTAAAGAGGGAAAACATTAAGTCTGTAATTGAGAGCAGACCTAGAAGTCACCCAGTTAAAGTTTAAAACTGTTAAAATTTTTCCTCTTATTCCTTGAAAAAATTCATCTTGATAGAAGATCAGAAGGTCTTATTATTCTATAATAGCCACATATTCTTTTCCTGTAGAAGGGGGTAATATTTAGCTATAGATTACAGAGTAGAGGTAAACTACAGCAAAGAATTTAAACTCGGTAAGGAGGCTTTTCCTCAAAACTGTCCCCTTAGACCAAAAGGACACTTCTTTTTAAAAAATATAAAGAAATGGCAGTTTCTAAAAAATCACATTTCTGCCTTGTTGCAATATCTAACTCCCTGTTTCAATCTTAAAGTTTCAGTTACTTTTCTGGATTCTCCTCTGTCTTTAAACCACATCTTCAAGCTAACCAAAAAATATTTTTTCCCAACTTCCAATTTTGGCTTCCATTCAGTGGGCTAAACCTCAGAGAGAGAGAGATAGTGAGAGAGAGAGAGATAG